GGGGGGAGGGGACATATGTAATACTTTCAATAATAAAATTTTTTTAAAAAGTCACCTTGGTGTCCCCAAGAGATGTCCTTCTTTGCTTCTTTTCCCATCTCCATCATTGGATAAAGCTACCCCACCCAGCATCTATGACCAAAGCTGCCTGCCTTGGCACTGGCAGGAGTTCTTTGGGGGAACAAAGCGAAACCCAATTTCCTCTATGTGGCTGGCAGTCCCCTACCCTGGGGACAGGGGCTGGGTCCTAGTGCCCTCTCCATCAGCATGCCTCATGTGGGGCCTGGCACAGGGGAAAGCGTGTCCAGTGGTGACCGAGAGGCTGACAACCCACCAGCAAGGGCCACGGGAGCGTGGTGCCTCGGGCTGAATGGCAGGCCCAAGGATGTCTCCTTCTCCTCCTGTTTCCCATTTATCATGAAAGGGGATGACAGTGCTCTCCTGACTAAAAGCAAATTCTTGGTCTCCTCTTGAAGTTAAAAAAGCAAAAAAAAAAAAAAAGTAGCATTTGCCCCATCCATCCATGACTTCTTCAAAATAGGAAACTTTTCCCTTCTCCCCGCCACTGGTATCTGGACCTTGACTGCCCCCTTATTTCCTGGTGGATTTCTAACCGTCCAAAAGGGTTTGTGGGGCTTGGCTTCCTTCCTCTTTCTGGCCATGAAAGCTCCTCATTCCTGTCTTAATTGTAAGGGTCTAGTCATGCAAGGCATTGGTTTCCCTGTTGGAGGAGAAACCATCCTCATTGCTCTGCTCTCTTTCCTTCCAAGTGCCAGCCACCCTTTCCTCAGCACCTGCTTCCTAGGGAGAAGATGTGAGCTGATGGGAAAGAAGGGGCCAGAGCGTGTTCATTAGGACAACCAGTCTCTTTGTGAGCCCGACAGGCTCCCGGGTGCCTGAGCTCTCCTTCCCAGGGAAGAGTGGAGGGAGAGCCTATGGATCAAAGCTGCCTCCTTCTCCCAAAGAAAAAGCCTGCAGCCCTGACTGGTTTGGCTCAGTGGATAGAGCATCGGCCTGCGGACTGAAAGGTCCCAGGTTCGACTCCGGTCATGGGCATGTACCTTGGTTGCGGGCACAACCCCAGGGGGGGGGGGGGTGTAGGAGGCAGCTGATCGATGTTTCTCTCTCATCGATGTTTCTACCTCTCTATTGCTCTCCCTTCCTCTCTGTCGAAAATCAATAAAATATATTAAAAAAAAAAAAGAAAAAAGAAAAGAAAAAGCCTGCAAAGAACCAGCCACAGCAACATTCCTGGGTGACGCGGAAGGCAATGGGAGAAGCTGATCTGCAGGTTGGTGGGCACCCTCTCCAGCTCTCTCCCTCTCTCACTGGTTTTTTTCCCCCCTAACTCTGAGGGAGAGGATGCCTTACTGAACCCCAAGAAAGTCTTGTCTCTGTCTTCAGGTAGACCTTTCCCAGCCCCTGAGGAGCAGCTACTCCAATAGTCAAGGATTTTGATAGTTATTCAGAGACTAGAACAAAAACTCCACAGTGGGATGTGAAGAAAACAGACAGGGTAAAGGGGTGTGGAGGTACTTCCACCTAGTTTTTGCTCATTTGTAAGAACTTTAAAGCCAGAGGGGGAAGGTTACGCATTATAGACTGTAACACCTCTAACACATGTCATGTACAAGGCTGCAGTCCCCTGAGTTTCTTCCTACCCTGTTACATAACACACACAGATGTGCACACATCCATGCAGTCCATGGTGAGGGGCATAGGACCAACCGCAAGCTACAACTTCCCTGCTCTTCGAACTTCTGCCCATCAGGCAGCTGCTGGTTCTGCGGACCACGCATTCTAAGTCACTGATCATCACACAACTGCCCCCAACTTGCATCTTTGGAGCCCCCAACACATAAAGAGCAGCCTGGAGACCTGAACTCAGTAGATATAGAGGCCCTCACTGTCTGCTTCCAAGGGCACAGAACAAAGGTTATTAGGGGGCCCATGGCCAGGGTAAAGCTCCCTCTGGGGAACACATGCTTCTGTCCAGAGTTGGATGACCTCTACAGACCAGGCAGCAGCGTATCCCTGGGGCCAGTCATTAGGACGACTTTCCAAAGCAGCAGGTCACTTGTTTCCAAACCCAGGCTGGCCATCAAAAATGATAGCAGGAGTGTAAATAGCCCTAACCGGTTTGGCTCAGTGGATAGAGCGTTGGCCTGCAGACTGAAGGGTCCCAGGTTCGATTCCAGTCAAGGGCATGTACCTTGGTTGCGGGAACATCCCCAGTAGGGGGTGTGCAGGAGGCAGTTGATCAATGTTCTCTCTCTCATTGATGTTTCTATCTTTCTATTCCTCTCCCTTCCTCTCTGTAAAAAATCAATAAAATATAGCTTAAAAAAAAAGAGTGTAAATAGGTATTTTGCCTGGGAAGGGTAATTTGGCAATATTTCTTAAATTTGCAAAAGTAGGTGCCTTATAATATAGTGATTCTGTTTCTAGGAATTTAGTCTACAAATTTAGTTCACACACATGTGAAATGACACGTGAACCAGTTATTCACCGCAATACCATCTATTAGTAAAGATCGGGAGTAAACTAGATGTCCACCAGAAGCTTTTTTTTTTGTTTTGGTATGAAAGGGTCACAGATATAGAGTGTTAAGTTAAAATAAGCAAGGTGCAGAACAGTGGGTATGTTTTACTATTATTAGTATAGAAAAGAAAGAACAATTACCTACTCAAAAGATTAAATTAGAAAACAGACTAAAGTAGCAAAAGGAGGAACCTTTCACCCTGTTAGCAGCATAGCCTGGGGAAAGACTAGACTGAGAATTCAGAAGGAATGCTCCCCCCCACCCCAACAACCCCCACCTCCACACACAGACAGAAGAGGAGGAAGTGGGCTGCCAGGTGCTTCAGCATTGCCCTGCTGGCTCCTAAGGGCCTCCACTAACAGAGGCCTGAAATTCCTCTTCTCATGGTCTCCTATGGTGAACCGCCTCACCATTCCCCTAACTCAGGCACACTCATGTGGTTAGGGAAAACTTGTGTGTGTGTTTTAAATGTAAACATTTGTACACACTTCTTCAGAATAACAAGGCACCCCCTAAAGCAATGACATCCTTTAAAGCTGCTTGACTTCCTGGCACCCTCTTTCCCTTCCCCAGCCAATTCTATTGTCCTGGAAAAAAATTGCTGAATGGCATGTATTTGTTTTAGAGATTACTCTTTAAGAATCTCATGACACCCCTTTGAAATAACTGGCAACACTCTGGGGTGTTGCAAAACCCACTTGGGAGTGACCGCCTTGATGACCAGCAGGACGTCACAGCCAAGACTCAGGCCAAGTGGGGCATGACCTGGGGCAGGGGATGGGGCTGGGTCTCTTTACCTCCACTCGCTAGGCATTTCCATGGATCCCAAGGTCTGCTTGGAGTACTGCATGGGCATGGGAGGCATTTGCTTGGGAGCCACTGACAAACCCTGCTCATGGGTGAGCTGCTGGGTCCCTGGGAGATGAAACTGGTTCTTTTTCCTCAAGGATAATTTTAGGTCCTCACTTCCCCTCCAGTCTTTCAACCTCCCAACCCCTGGCTCAGCCTCCCAGAGGGATTGCTTAAACCAGTGACTATACAGTGTTCTTTTGAAATATAGAGCGGTTCAAAAGAGACATGCTAGGGCATGGCCCTGGAGGCATTTTCCATGATATTTTTCCCCTTTTTGTCTCTTTGTTTCAGGGGAGGAAGCCAGACAGCTCAAGGATCAGGTTCTGATAGGACTTCATTAAGGTATCATATCTTCCTGCCCTTGAACTTGAATCCAGGAGCTTATTTTCCAGTCTCATCTCCCCACACCCAATTTCAGAGGAACTGGCTTGGAGATTGGAATAGCTTGGCTGGCAGAACCAGCTCTAAGTCTGCGTGAGGGTAGGGGAAAGGAAGTAGGCTTTGGGCTTCCCCAGGTGAAGGGAACCTCTGATAAGAGGTATGAAGAGACTTGGAGCTGCATTACAATACCAGGCCTCCGGTTCCACACACTTGGAGATGCAACGCGTGAATTCCTCAATTCAACCTCTTCTAGTTTTTAATTAAAAGTTCATGAATAGCCCTAGTCGGTTAGCTCAGTGGATAGAGCGTCGGCCTGCGAACTAAAGGGTCCCAGGTTTGATTCATGCCAAGGGCACATGCCCAGGATGTAGGCTCGATCCCCAGTAGGGGTCGTGCAGAAGGCAGCCGGTCAATGATTCTCTGTCATCATTGATATTTCTATCTGTCTCCCCCTCTCTCTTCCTCTCTGAAATCAATAAATAAAAAAATAAAAAAAGTTCATGAATCTTCAAGGAAGTAGCGTGAACACTTTCCCATCGGGAGCGTGGTGATGGAAGATTTGTGGATAGTAGGGGGTGATGTGGATCAGCCTCAACCTCAAACCCATTCATTCACTTTTAACATGTCTTTTCAACAGAATTTTAAGAAAAAAGGGCCCATCTAGAAAATTTCAAGGTGGAAAGGGCAATGTGTAATGGGGAAATTGGAGAAATCGAAACTCTCAGCATCCCAGGCTACGGAGGCCAAATTGAAATTCAAATGAGCGGGCAATGATAAAGACTCCTGAGAAATGGCAAATTTCCCCAGTAGCTGAGGGGGTGGGAGGTGAGGGAGCCAGAACAGAAAGCGGGAGAGACAGGGAGGGTAAGGGAAATAGAAGGGAAAGGGGGCAAATCTCACTGAAATGGCCTCCTGGGAGGAGCGAGGATACTGGCTGCCCTCTATTACTTAACTTACAATATCTTAGAGGAGGGCTCCCGAGGAGCCGAGGGGCTACTGTGGACAGAAAGGGTTACCTTTTCCTCTGCCACGGTAAGCGGGGAGGCCAGGAAACCAGTGCTGACCGGTGCTGTGCTGAGTGTGGAACTGGTGATGGCAGGAGTGGGCACATCGTGGCAGAGAATTCAGGGCCTCCGTGCTCCGGATTTGGCTAAAGGAAAAGTCGGGCTTCCACCTCGTTTCCCTCCCTACCCTCCAAGTCCCCTCCAGACGCCGAGTGTTGAGACTATTGGCCGCTGCCCCTTTAAGAGCCGCCACTCCCCCCACCCCCCAGCGGTGGCACCAAGTGTGGGGGTGTGTGGGGGGGCTGAGCTTTCTCTCCCAGTCAACCAGGGAAGATGGCCCAGGCCAAGGAGATCTCTCCCACGCCCCACTCCCCCCTCCCCTGAGTCGCGTGAGCTGGGAGCCCCCTTACCTCTTTCCCTCCCGCCCCACGCGCGACGTGGGAATGGCTCCGCGGCCTGACGCGAACAGCTCTCTGGCCTCGTGGCCAGATGCCCCCACCCTGGCGCCCAATTCTGCCAACACGAGTGGGCTGTCAGGGGTGCCGTGGGCAGCGGCGTTGGCGGGGGCGCTGTTGGCGCTGGCGGTGCTGGCCACCGTGGGAGGCAACCTGTTGGTCATCGTGGCCATCGCCCGGACGCCGAGGCTCCAGACCATAACCAACGTGTTCGTGACTTCTCTGGCCGCAGCCGACCTGGTCGTGGGACTCCTGGTAGTACCGCCGGGGGCCACCTTGGCGCTGACCGGCCACTGGCCCCTGGGCGCCACCGGTTGCGAGCTGTGGACCTCGGTGGACGTGCTGTGCGTGACCGCCAGCATCGAAACCCTGTGCGCCCTGGCGGTGGACAGATACCTGGCCGTGACCAACCCGCTGCGCTACAGCGCGCTGGTCACCAAACGCCGCGCCCGCGCCGCCGTGGTGTTCGTGTGGGTCGTGTCCGCGGCGGTGTCCTTTGCGCCCATCATGAGCAAATGGTGGCGCGTGGGGGCCGACGCCGAGGCGCAGCGTTGCCACTCCAACCCGCGCTGCTGCGCCTTCGCCGCCAACATGACCTACACGCTGCTTTCCTCCTCCGTCTCCTTCTACCTTCCGTTGCTGGTGATGCTCTTCGTCTACGCACGAGTTTTCGTCGTGGCGACGCGCCAGCTGCACTTGCTGCGTCGGGAGCTGGGACGCTTCCCGCCAG